CAACAACCCAAAAAGGTAGGTTACTGTCTATACTGTGTGTGCAACGCACTCTACCAATTATGGTGATAATCAGAGCTGGGCACTACCACAAACAAGCGTGAGCTAAAAGTGAGAATGTGTTAGGCTATCTGCACACTTGTCGTCCAATCATAGTTGCGTTATCGTCTCGCCCTGAAATTTTGAGCCGAGCACATGCATTTCAGAGGAGATCTGCACACTTGTCGTTATCGGCTAGTTATCGGCAAATCGTAGAAGATGCAGAAACGGATAAGTACGGCACTGTCGTTTGCTAATCGTTGTGCACGCATTGTTTGTTTACATTTTATGGGGAAAAATTAGTGAATAAGTTAATATTTGCATAAAAATTAGTATTTTTTGCATAAAATCTGTGGAAATTATTAAAAAGTGGATAATTGCATTAAGATTCAATAAATGTGAGCGCTTTAACTATAAAATATGACGAAATTGTTAAAAGTCTCTGTGTGCATGCACAAAGCACACTTCAGGAAAAGAAAAGGAGATATTACTGAAAAATTATGTCTAGAATTGTTGCAGCACAGTCTATATTTTAAAAATTGCAGGTTTTTGTAAATATTTCGCGAAAATATCAACTAGAAAAACAGGAAATACCTGCTCCAAGTGAATTTTTAGACGCCAAATGAATTGCAATATCACGACCAAGTGTGCGAAAGTGTAGTCGTCATATAATCGTTGCATCATGATTGTGACGATGAAGCAACTATGATTAGACGACCAATGTGCAGAAAGCCTTAGTGTGCCTAATTCCCCTGCAAAAAAATGTGCGACTAATCTCTAAAGAGAGTTTTCCGAGATTACTCTCAATCGGGTACAATTGGGCATTAATTAGTCCCAACTAGTCTCATACAGGTACTAATAGAGGTCAATTAGTCTGGACTCATCCGTTATGGGTATAATTGGAGATCAATTAGCCCCCAACTCATCTCTAACGGGTACTATTAAGGATTTAATGATTTCTACGCACTTAGTCAATGAAATTTCATGTGCGGCGTTGGCACACAGAGAGAGTATTCGCCTATCAAAACTGAGCACCCCGGTTCGAATCTCAGCTGGCACAAATTTTTATTTATATTTATTAAAAGTGACTAGTCGCTTTTTACACCCGTTCGGGTATAAAGGTGAACAATTAGTCTCTTCATAAGACATGCTCGAACAAAAGCGATCAGTTCATTTCATATAAAGAGATCAAAAGTGGTATTAGTCGCATGCTCCTTTGCGATTGCTCCCGGAGTCATCCCGGATTAGTCGCATTTTTTGCAGGGTCATTTTGCATGCTATTGTGTTCTCATCGCTGCGCTCTCGCTTGTATACATGAACCAACTAACAAGATCACCCAGCACGGCAACCGTGTATTTGTAATTGCATTTGAGAAAAAAAATAATAGTTGACGTCATTTTTTAATCGGTTCTTTCATTCACACACAGGTTTCATTCCGTTTCATTCACATGGCGGCGAAAAAATTACGTCACTGCAAAAAAATAACTTTTTTCTCGCACGCCGTGCTGGGTGATCTTTATTCGTTCGTTCATGGCTTGTATACTGTGGCGAATACTGCGGCAACACAAAGCGAACAACGAGAAATAGGCAGAATGTTCGAGGAATGACGTAGAATGTTCCACAAAGAGAAACGTCAAGTGGGATGAACACTGCGAACAGCGAGAGAAAGAGAATGAGCGATAAACTTCAGAATGTTCTAGAGTTGCCATGAGTGCCAGCGCAGGTATATAAGGGCGCTGCCACCGCG